GTGGGGCCTGGAGGGGCTGATGTTTCAAGGGTGCCGGCAAAGGCAATCTCCCATGTTTATGCCACGTTCATCAACGAGTGTGAATAGCTCCTAACCAAAATCGGCAAGAAAATGAGCTCCTGGCTCAATGGTTAAAGCGTAAGACTCTGACCGAAAAGGTGACGGGTGCGATCCCCTGGTGATGCACCACTTGGGTTGAGTACGACTTTTCCCCTTCTCTTTACCGGCAATACTATCTGAATTTGCGAACATCAGTTTTTAATTTAAGGCTGCAAAAGTAGGTACTACAGATGACGGAAAGCATATTTTCAGATCTCGATAAATGCCTTTTTGGCAAGATATGCAGAATTTTCTTTCATTTTCGTATCCCGTATAGTCTTCTGACGTGGGCTGATTAATCTGAAAGGGCACTAGGATTCTGGCCTGATAAAACATTTTAAACGGATATTATATAAAAGAAACGAAGAACATCAACTATTTCAGTCTGCCATTCGTGCTTCTGAGAAGCGGCATAATTATGGCGCTTACTAATACGTGGCGTCGAAAAAAACTCCCTTTATAACATGCTATAGAGGTGACTATTAACACTCAATCTTGTGTTCTCCATACAAGTGTTTGTGAAAACGTACACGCAGGGTCTTTTGTCCACTTTTTAATGCAAGGTATTCTTTAACAATAAAACAATAAAGTTACACAGTTGCGTAGACTAGTTCCCTACAAACCCTCCTTCAAAGAACTTGCAATTTTTTAATGTTTCCCTTGTTTCCTTACACTACCAAAATTGACAAAGACAGTGGTCGTAAAATTGCAAAGAGACTGACCTCGTAGCGAATGCCGCGATACCTTGGATGCTATTGACATTGATAAAGAATGATTAGGATTTATGTTTGGTTTTCCTCTAGTTATATTTTCTGTACTTTGGTACAAGGCCAGCAATATTTCCGTGGATCTGTTACTCCCGTGTCTTCCAGTCGATTTTGGCCCAAATCAGGGTTCTTAAACTAGGTTAGTATAGGATGGCCTGATCGTTTTGAACAGAAGGAACCGGAACGGTAATCCTATAGGCATTATCTACTTTGCCAAGAGATAG